AAATGTTAGACATTCTCTCCCCAGAAATATTTCCACATACAAGAAAATATAGATATTAATATAAAACATCGGTGTGGACCCAGATTCTCGGAGATCTTACAAACCTGGGTGTTTTACTCCTAGTAAGAGACAAAGCCATAATCATTTCACTATCACAGAATGCCACTCCAATAATCTAGAGTATGAACTGGGATAGACAAAAACTAGATGTAATAATCTATCCTCAAGGGAATGGGTGGAAATATGTTATTTATTAGTCACTGGTTCATTCACACACTCTGCATGCCTACCAGGTAGCAGATAAAGTTCTCATCCTGGATCACTGCTCCAAGAATTAAAATTTGTCACTTTTCCCCACCCCTCACACTCCAGCACTTGAACCCTCTTACTGCACCAGAATTCCACACTGTCGGTGAAAAGAGTCAAACTCGGTAACATATTTGAAGAGATTAATTCTGAGCCAAAAATGAGTGACCACAGCCCATGACACAGTCCTCAGGAGAACATGTGCTCAAGGTGGTTGTGGCACAGGTTGGTTTTATACATTTTAGGAAGATATGTGACATCAATCAAATACATTTAAGCTATACATTGGTTCGGTCCAAAACATTGGAACAATTTGAAGCAAGCAAGGGTTGCGGGGTAGTGCTTCTGGGTTATAAGTAGATTTTTAATTTTTCTGATTGGTAATTGGTTGAGTTATCAATAGAAAGGAATGTCTGGGTTATGATAAGAGGTGGTGGAGTCCAAAATTTTCTCACGCAGATCAAGCCTCCAGGTGCCAGACTTCAGAGAGAATAGATTGTAAATGTTTCTGATCAGATTGAAGGTCTGTGTTGGTGGTAAATGCTGGTCAGCTTTTCCTGAATTCCAAAAGGGAAGAGAGCATAATGAGGCATGTTCAACACCTGCTTCCCATGATGGCTTGAGTCAGTCTTTCAGGTTAACTTTTGAGCACGCTGGCTGAGGGTGTCCATTAAAATGATTGGGAGGGAGTGGTTTTGATGTTTATTTTTGGTTTACAGCATGTAAAATATTGAGAGGAGACAGACATCACCTCCATCCCTGGATGAGGACAACACTCCAGTCACCCCTGCAGTTGATCAGGGACATGAGTCTTAAGTTCCACCAGTCCGACGACCTCTGCTGAAGAGGTTCATTGTCTCAGGTAAATACTAAGGTTTGTCATCTCAAGCCAAGAAGATTAAGGACACCGACACACGAGGATTGAGTTTAGGAGCAAAGGGTATAATAGGCAAAAGAAAGACAAAGGGGAACAGCTCTCTTCTTGTGAGAGAGAGGGGCACCCAAAAGGGAATTCCGGCCTGGAATGGGAGTGCATCGGATTTTACAGGCAGCCTTGAGGAGATGCTGTCTGATTTATGTAGGGCCCACAGGTTGGTAGGACTAGGTGTGATATTTACACAGTACGTGTGGAAGGCTGTTCACCCCACCCTCATCTTATTATGCAAATGGGCTTTCCACTTGGCCGACGCCATGCTGTCTGCTTACTGTAAACGTGCCTGGCAAAGAGAAGGGAAGATGGAGTCGCCATTGTGAACACACCCAGTCCCAGGTGTCCGATTCCTATTCGCACAGCTGCCAGCATTCACCCGTGCAAGCTTCCAGCTTACTTGTTTGTGTCTGAAGCTTGATATTACAGGCTGCTCCTTGTTAGAAAAGAAAATAATTTGGAGCCTGCTTTTCATTAAAAGCCTTCCGTACCCTCACTACCTGTCTAAATAATTTCTTCTTAACTCCTATATCACTGCCAGCCTCTGAGCCAGAATGAGGTGACAGAGAGGCTGGGACTGTGCAGAAAACATTTTAGTAAAGATGGCTGAGTGACAGTAGTGATGTCCAATTTCCAGGTGCAGCAGTGACGTCTCTCCTGGCCTCAGGGCCCAGTGTCCACCACCAGGGTGTCAGAGGTGTGAGCAGTGGCGTCTGTGCTCAGTAGCAGGGGCAGTTGTTCCTAGGTGGGACCTGATCTTGGGTGGGCTGTGGATTCTGTTCCTGGATGTGTAGATTCCAGCCTGCTTCTGTGGCCTTCCCCACAATAAAACTAGCCCCCAATACCAGGTATACGACTTTATGTGTACATTACAGAAATTTGTTTTCCATAGTTTGCTCCAAGAAGTGAGTGGGAAATGAGTCTGTGGGCGGGTGTCAGAGAGCGGCATTCACAGGTGTTCCTTGTGGGAGAGTCACATCCTAAATTGTCTACCTAGTGTCTACCCCATGGTGGAGAGAACAACAGGGAATGTCACATCTCATAACTGATGATACACAGCCTCCCTTTTCTTTCTGTGAGGAAAATCCTCTTTTAAACAGGGTTTGAAAACCCATCCCATTCACCCACCCTGGCCACTCTCTGATCTCTGATCTCAGTGGTTCCTGATCTGGCTGAGCAACAGGATTGCTGGTGGGGGCTTAGAAAATACTCAGGCCACTCCCCAGAACCCCTGTCTCAGAGTATTACACACAAGACCAAGGAATCGTTTATATAACAAGCCCTAGAGGTGAGGCAGATGCTCAGACATGTGGGATCCTGGTGTTCTTGATACTCCAAGTGTCATCTGGAGACCACCAACATGAACTCCAGCCTTGTCATAAATACAGAATCTCTTGCTCCACTCCAGACTTCCTGAATCTCAGCACTACGTCCGAGTGATCCCTGTGCACACGGGTGTTCCTTGTCTAAGTGTCCTCTAGACATGGGGTCAGAACTGTGCAGTCTGCTCTGGGTGTGGTCTGATCAAATCCCTTACAACTGCAGGTCCAGGGTTCAGTCCTTGCCCTCATTCTTTTCCACAGTCAATCACTCCCTTGGTGCCTTCATCCATGCTTGAGGTTTTAAGTATCGTTTATATGATGTGGCCTCCTAAATCTATTTCTCCTGCCCAGTCAATTTTTCCTTTCCTCTAAACTCTGGAGTTGTCTGTCCAAATTCCACCCCATCTCCCCAAACTGCATTCCTAGTAGACATCTCCACTGAGTGCCTGTGATGCCCCCTCCTCAGTATGCTCCTGCCAGAGTCTCCCCATCTCCACTGACAGCAGCTCTACCCTTCCTTCTACTCACTCATTTTACAACTATGGGTGTCCTTGATTTGTCTTTCTCACACCACAGATACAATCCACTGGCAAATGCTGTGAGTTCATCTTCAAATGCATCCAGAATCCCCTCAAATCCCACTCTTCCCCTTCTCATGTCCTAGTCAAGGTCACCGACATCTCCAGCCTGGAATACTGTACTCGCTTCCTACTGTTTTCCCTTCTGCCTCCCTCGTCCCTCACCTCTCAATTCTGTTCTCAGCACAGCAGTCAGAGATCCTTTTAAAAGCGAAGTTATATCATGGCCCTCTTTTGCTCAAAACTGTCTTCTGACTCTTCATCCCACTCAGAGCAAAGGTCAGATCCAACCCCATTCCCCTCAAGCCCACCTGCTCTGGCCACACCTCTGACCTCACCTCAGTTTCTCTCTGTCCAGTCCTCCTGGCCTCCTTGTTCTTCTGGGAACACAGACACCTTCCTGCCATAGCGCATTTGGACTGGAGGATCCTCTGCCTGGAAAGAACTTCCCCAGACATCCTCATGTCCCTCAAATCCTTCCTCAAAGGTCACCTTTGCAACAAGGCACACACTGACCACCCAGCACAATAGCCACCTTCCCTGTACCCACTGCCCACATCCTGGATCACCTGCCTCACAGCACTTACCACCGTCTAGCACTTTTCTTTCTTACTCTGGTAATAGTTATAGTGTATCTATCATCTGCCTCTTTCCACTGGAACATGTGCTACAAAAGGCCAGATATTTTTCTGATTTTACTTCAATGGTGTTCCCCACATCAGAACCATTCTGTCCTGTCTGGCCAATGACAAAGGTCAGTTGAATGAATGATCACTGTAGAGCACCTCCCTATTCTAAAAGCAGTATCTTTATTAACATAGCCTCAGGCCAAATGCCGTTTTGTGGCAGCTTCCGCACAAGGTCCCCTCACATTGAGATAGAGGCCGCGTATGTTTTTCTCAGCAGTGCTGCTTGTGTGCCCTCCCTCCCCCATCCCTCTTTCCACGCAACGCCCCCCCCCGCCCCCCCGCCCCCCAGCACGTTGCAACTCACAACCAGGTTCTCTCTTCAGAAAAGAACAGTCCTTGATGATGGGTCCAATTTCACAGACAAATATAAGTCTAAATTAGACTCTGCTTTATAGATTCATGAGTTGGGATTGGATTCAGCACTAAGATCACGAGAACCAGGGCAGGGAGAGAGGGCAGGAGAGCAGAGCAGAACAGAAGCTCTAGAAGCAGGGCAGGAGGTGAATGGCTCTGAACATTTGTCTCAGAATGCACAGAGACCCCTGTGTGCAGGGGCCGCCCTGGGCGATGTCTGAGCCTCTGTGGTCACAGCTCCCACTGGACAAGTTTCCACTGATGGGACAAGTACGATGGGGCAGTGAAGGTGACCCAGCTTAGGACTGACCACATAAAGCCCATGAAGAACTGAACAGCAACTAGACACAGATTCTGGAAGGTTCTCTGGTCTTTATTTGCTCTCTCAAATTCTAGGAATTGACCTATTTAATCCATCAACCTCTCATAGTAAATATTTGAGAAAACAAATTTATATTCAGATTCTTATTTTCTGTTTTTTTAGTTTTTTGAGACAGAGTCTTGCTTTGCCGCTCAGGCTGGAGTGCAGTGGCGCCATCTTGGCTCACTACCAGCTCCGCCTCCCGGGTTCACGCCATTCTCCTGCCTCAGCCTCCGAGTAGCAGGGACTACAGGGGCGCACCACCACGCGCGGCTAATTTTTTGTATTTTTAGTAGAGACAGGGTTTCACCGTGTTAGCCAGGATGGTCTCGATCTCCTGACCTCGTGATCTGCCCGCCTCGGCCTCCCAAAGTACTGGGATTACAGGCGTGAGCCACCGCGCCCGGCAGATTCTTATTTTCTATCGGGAAGTAAGAAGTTGCAGCTCAGTGCACATAAAGTTCAGACTGAGATGGAGACATCCAGCCCCAACTCTCTGGAACAGGAAAGATGACTGGGGAGGAAACACTGGTCAGCGTGGGAACAGGGGTCACGGTGGACACGGGGGTGGGCTGTCCCTCCACCTCCTCACATTATGCTGACAGAGACGCAGACACATTCAGATGCCTTGCAGAAAGAGATGCCAGAGTCTCTTGAAGTCACAAAAGGAGAGGCGTGAAGAAATCTTGCATCTCAATCCCACACAAGACAGTTGTCTCAGGCTACAGAAAACAACAGTCATGAACAAATTCAAGTCAGTCATGGTAAGTGATGACACTCTGAACAGCCCAC